TGCTGGCCTCTTGTTTTCCCAGCCTGTCTTCTGCAGGAGGGGCCTGCCGCGCTGTTACTCAGGCAACCCTGTTTGGGTGGAGTTGCCCTGCGCCCCTGTGGTGGGGGATGGGCTCAGTGGGAATCAGTTTTTGGGGCTTTTGTTCTCTGGTGGCTTTCCCTGGCGGCTTTCCATGTCTCTTCCACGAGTCAGAGCAGAAGAGACCGTTTCCAGCCCTCTGCCTCAGAGCAGAGAGATTGCAGTCTGTTCTTCAGTGAGCTCTCCCGGCCACACCGTCTGTGTTTCTGTCCGTGCTGCTATAAACTGTAGCGCCCCTCTGCAGCACTCCCAGTCCTGCCTCCAGATATGGGCTCGTCTCTGCCCTTTGTGCTTCTAAAACCACCAGCCGCTCCCAGATCACCCGCGCAACCCCATCAATCCGGGTTCCCACCCCGGGGGCTGCAGTTTGCCCGCAGGACACCGCCACTCCGGGTTTCTGCCCCAGGGGCTGCCCTAAAGTCCTTTCCCGATGCTACCGGTCTGCGAGTCTCTACCCGTCGGCAGCGCGTGAGGCTGTTACTCACCGGCGGTGTAGGATCCCCACGGCCGGGCTCCCTCCCGCTGCCGTTTATCCTCCAATATCTGCCCGTGGAATCACGGCTGCCCGCTTCATACCTCAAAACCAACCGCCTGTGAATATTCTGCTTGTAGAGATCCAGATCTTACATCTCAGGCTGGTTTCATGGGTGCTCAGAGTGGTCTGGTAGATATCCAGCTCAATTCTGGGGACCAGTTGAAATAGGGTCCCCTACTCCTCCGCCATCTTTCCCCCCTCCCAGAAGCTTTTTACCTATGTTTAATTCAAAATCTGTGGCTTAGCTGTAAGGCTCAGTCTTCTTCACCAAATTTTCTACTCTCCTATCCTGCCATATCCACTTCCTCCCCCCCACCACACACACATCTACTACCCTATGCTCATATAAACTCATCAATCAGCATTTTATGGTGAATTATCAAAAAGGACTCAGTCAAAAGATTGGTCAATATCAACACTTTGACCCTGTAATCTTTTATGAATTACATTTAGGGTGATATACCCAGAGTTCTCAATTTTCAGCTGAAAGGTTAAGTTAAGTTTTTCTAATAGCTGATAAGGGATACTCTAAGTCTCCCATTTCCTCTATGGGAGACCTGAGTGTGTGCCTGCCATGGTTGGCTGCCACTTCTTGATGGGCATTGCCAGGCACAGGATACCTCAAATTTCTCACAACACAAATCATGACACCCGAGGTCTTTAGATTAATGACTTCATATGGTTGCAAAAAATTTACCTCTAAAAAGCCTCACTTCCCCCCTCTTTTTTTTTTTTTTACAAAATCAAACAGCCAGATTTAACCACAATTATTTCTTTTTTTTTTTTTAAAGATTTTATTTATTTATTTGACAGAGAGAGAGACAGTGAGAGCAGAAACACAAGCAGGGGGAGTAGGAGAGGGAGAAGCAGGCTTCCCGTGTAGCAGGGAGCGCGATGCGGGGCTCGATCCCAGGACCCTGGATCATGACCTGAGCCAAAGGCAGACGCTTAACGACTGAGCCACCCAGGCGCCCCAAACTACAATTATTTCTTAATATAAATTCAATACCACCTCATTATGTTTTATACAAATGTCTACTAATTACAGTGAGGCAACCATGGCATGATGATCAGGCTGAAAACTTACAAGCACTTAACTCACTGGGTCCAGTAGGGACTTAACACAGAAGCCCTGGTGAAGGCTTTCAATGCTATTCTCCATATCGGAGCCTTTAAATAAGCTGAACCCCCTGTCTTGGAGTATCTTTCTCTCCCTGCCCATAGGTAACTCCTTCTCATCTTTCTAAATGAAGTATTATGATACCTCCTGATAAGTACTGTTCTGAAATGCCCATGGGTTTTATGGAGATATCATTTCTATGTCCTGTACAAAGATATTTGTGGCAACAAAATGGCATTTATCATACAGACTCTAATTCTCCACTTCCTTCTCTAGCTCCATGGGAACCAAGGCCACCCACAACAGTATAAATTGCATATTGGAACCCAATAAACACTTCTTTATGAAAGAGTTAATCATAAGCTGATGAAAACACCATAGAATAAGGGCAGTAGTGATTGGGAGACACTCACCTGTCTGAAAGATGACCACCTATGAGGCCTCCCACCAGCATTCCAGCCATGAATAAGAATTGAACAATTGATTTCTGTGACTGAAAATTACATACTAGGTCCCACTGGAAGAGAAGGAAATCAGCACAGAGGAGTTTCACAGCAGCTTACAGTCCCTCAGTGTTCACCTGCTGCAACAGCAGTCAGTGGACACACTGTCCAGCCTCCCTTCCCTACGTTTACTTACCTGTATCACCCAAGTCTCAATTTAAGCATGACTTTCTCTAGAAATCCTCAACTAAATCTTCTAGGTTATATTAGGGCCAATCTTTATACTCGCTTAGCACTCCATACCTCCGTGGTTCTCAATCTTTGCCACACACTAAAAACACTGAGGAGATTGTCTAAAATACTGATGCCTACATTTCCTACCTTGAGTGTAACACCCTGGTTTTCTTCTCTGAGAAGTAGCCAGGGCATGGAGATTTTTTTTTTAATTAATACAGGTACTTCCAATTTGCAACTAGGCTGAGAACAAGTGACCAAAAATAACTTTTCACACATTCTATCAAGTATTTACTTGTCTAATCATTAGTATTCACACTATATTTAGTGGAATTCATGTCTAGTTGGTTGATTTCACTGGCCTCAAATTCAACGTAAGTGCTTGGCAGTTAAGAAGGCAAATACCATATGCTCTCATTCATATGTGGAATTTAAGAAACAAAACAGATGAACATATGGGAAAGGGGAAAAGAAAAAAATGAGAGAGGGAAACAAGCCATAAGTGACACTTACCTATAGAGAACAAACTGAGGGTTGATGGAAGGAGGTGGGTGGGAGGTGGGCTAGAAGGATGATGGGTATTAAGGAGGGCACTAGTTGTGATGAAAACTGGGTGTTGTATGTAAGTGATGAATCACTGAATTCTACTCCAGAAACCAATATTATACTATATGTTAACTAGCTAAAATTTAAATGAAAAAAAAAAGATAAAACAATCACTATTTGCTGAAAGAATGAAAGAGAGCTGACTACAGTATCTACACAATAACTAAAGACTTGAACCATATTTATCCTGTTATTCTAAACACCCAGGGCACCTGGGCGGCTCAGTCAGTTAAGCATCTGCCTTTGGCTCAGGTCATGACTCAGGGGTCCTGAGATCTAGCCCCACTTCTAGCCCCAATACTCAGGGGGGAGCCTGCTTCTCCCTCTCCCTCTGCTGCTCCCCCTGCTTGTGCTTGCCTTCTCTCTTACTCTCTCTCTCGCTCGCTATCAAATAAATAAATACAATCTTAAAAGAAAAGAAAAGAAATTCTATGAATAAATAAACAAAAAAATAAACACCCAGACTGTATATTCATAAGAAGTAAATGGGGCCTCTTACCTCAGTCACGATGGTGGAGGGGAAGGAGCTTTGGTCATACACCCAGCCATCCAGACAAGTCTCTTTGTCTGGGTCAGTCATGTTGGTGAAGGTTCCCTTCAGATGAAGAAGCTGCCACTGGGGATGGATAAAGCGGTGACAGTTCTCCGGCCTCAAGTCTGAGTCCAGTGGGATGGAGATTCTCAGGAGGACATCAGGGCTAAGGATCCCAGTATCATTATCAGAAACTGTGTCATTGTCAAGGATGTGCACCCAGCAGCGATGACTAGGAATGACTGCAGTGAAGTTCTCCAACAATATTTGACATATTATCATCATAAAAGAGGGAAGAATTAAAACCATCTGAAGGATCTGGAATTTCCCCAGGCCACCAACTTGATCCAGGAGCTCCTGAAAGGCCATTGAGTGTGAACACAGGTTGTCCTCAAGAGGAGACTTTATGGAGAGAAGTTCAAAGGGAGAAAACGGTTTCCTTTCATTAATTCACACTAAGTCAGTGCCAGTTTCTTATCAATCATTCCTACAACAGAGCAGTGGAAGCAGTATCCCCAGTCCTTCTGGAATCAGGAGATGTTAATTTTTTAATAAAGTCACAGAGAAATTTATTTACCTGAGACACTTCTAACGTTGACAAAGAAATCTGTTTAAAATTTTACTCTCTGAAAATTTTACTCTGTGCTTGTCCTCAGTGATCTTCTGAGTGAGCATTGGACTTTGGCATGTACACAACTCTCCAAATAAACTAAAATAAGCTTGCCATGCAATCTTCAGTCATTTCCAGAATATGGAGTTTGAGAGACAAAAAGTGAATGGCTGTGTGATTTTTCTGTGGAAAGAATAAAAAGCAAGTGTTTTTCTTGCTTGGTACTGAATTTAAATTAAAATAGTTAAGATATACTATCCTTTGTTTTTAATTAGAACAAAGTGGAATGTGGTGCAATTACTACTGAAAAGTGACTGATACTGCACTTCTGTTTAAATCACACCAGGAACTCATGGTAATTTTAGATTCCTTGCAAAGTAGACACAGGAGGAAGGACATGGTAAGTCCATGCAAGGGTTTTTTTTCTCAGGTTTATTTATTCACTTACATAATATATTTGAGGATCTTTTCTGTGCTCGTGTTTAGAATCCTTAATTGGTGATTTCATCATTATGAATGAGGCTTCTTTAGAAGCATATGTTTTCTCATACTAATATAGCCATTCCAAGTTTCTTGTACCTACAGTTTGTATGGTATAAACTTCTAATCCTTTAGGTATTTTTTAATTGACATGTTTATTGAGATTATTGTAAAATCACATGCAGATGTAAGAAATAAGGAGAAGCTCTGTGCAGCCCCCCTAAATTCCCCCAATAGTAATAGTTTGCAAAGCTATAGTATAATATCACACTGGGATATTGATACTAATCAAATCCACTAATCTTATTCAGATTTCCTCAGTTTCACCAGTACTTATGTGTGTGTGTGTGTATTTAGTACTATATGGTTTTATCACATGTGCAGCTTAGTGTTCTCACCAGCTCAATCAAAATACCAAACAGTTCTATCTCCACTGGCATCCCTCGTGTATATGCAACTCCCTCCTGCTCCTGTCATTTTCTTTTCTACCTTTGGCAACTACTAAACTATTTTCCACTTTTTTCAACTTCTGCTAATTAAAAATTGTTATATACAAAGAATAATATAGGGGAGTGATATCATCAAGACGGTAACATAGGTTGTTCTTACCTTCAGTCCGCCTCAAAAGAAGACCAACTAGCAACTGTCCATAGAAAGACACCGTTGTGAAAATCCCAGAACCCAGAGGTCAGGCTGAAGCAATCTTTGAACCACAGGGACTGACAGGATCACATTAGAAGAGCAAGAGGAGCGGCTACACTCTGACCATATTGCGCCTCCTCCATGCCAACACAACACCACACTGAGAAGCCTCCACCCTGATCCTACAGTTTCTCCAGTGAGAAAAAGAGAACCCAAGGTAGACATCAGTTTCCTCAGCATTAGGAGTTGCTTCCCAGAAGCCCCAGTCAGGTCTTATCTCATGGGGATTACCGGGGGAAACTGCAGGGCTCAACCACTGGGAATCAGATAGAGATGAAGAAGGGGCAAAGCTTACATTAACCAGTGCTTACATCTCTTTTTTCCAAACTTTTATTTAAATTCTAGTTAGTTAACTTATAGTATAATAGTGGTTTCAGGAGTAGAATTTAGTGATTCATCACTTACATATAACACCCACTGCTCATTACATCAAGTGCCCTCCTTAACACCATCACCCATTTAGTCCATACCCTAAATTAAGACATCAATTGAGTGATATTCCATGCATATATATACCACATCTTTTTTCTTTTTCTTTTTCTTTTTTTAAAGATTTTTTTTTATTTACTTGAGAGAGAGTGAGTAAGAGTGAGAGAAAGAGAACAGAGCTGAGCAGGGAGCCTGATGTGGGGCTTGATCCCAGGACCCTGAAATCATGATCTGAGCCAAAGTCAGCGACTGAACCAACTGAGCCACCCAGGTGCCCCATACCACATCTTCTTTATCCATTCATCAGTCAGTGGACATTTGGGCTCTTTCCATAATTTAGCTAGTGTTGATAATGCTGCTATAAACATTGGGATTCATATGCCTCTTTGAATCTGTATCTTTATATCCTTTGCGTAAATACCTAGTAGTGCTTAGATCTTTTTTTTATTATTATTATTATGTTATGTTAGTCACCATACAATACATCATTGGTTTTTGATGTGGTGATC